CCTTCTCTATCGAATGATCCTCTAGCCTTCTTCGCAGGTGCTATTCTTTTTTATCATCTGGACAGGGGCTACTCGCATAAACGCCCTCAGTCTTCCTTTCTGATGTGGTTTACTCGCATGCAACAACATTCTGCTCTGACCATCCCCACTTCAGCAAGAAAAGCTGTCTTTCATGGTTTTACTTACGGGCCAACACTTGCTGCTGTAGAACGTCGTGAGTCTTACCACTGTTCGATGCAGCTTTCTTTTGAGTCCCCAGGAAAACCGTTGGTCGCAGAGCAGAGGATATCACTGGACTCCTTCCACTTTATCCATATTTATGGGCCTTTATAGCCTAGTCACGCTTCCACCAGCGGCCAAGCCACTCCCCAAATATCAGGAACTCTGTACCTTCTCGATGGCTTCTCCAAGACCGTTCCGATTGGTTCTGTACACTCCTCAGAGCTAAAATTTTTGGCCTTTTTTACATTCAGCCTGAGCGTAAGCCCCGCCAAAACATTATGCCATTTATACAGCTTATCCTGAACTTCTTCTCGACTCTCCGCTTTCAGAGCGATGACATGAGCGCAGACGATGGTCTTCAAAAGTCGATTTCAGCTTTTTTTTATAATGAGATCCATTGTAAACAAAAAGTATTGGGCTCACAGGTTTAACGAGCTCAGAGAATCCTGTTGAGGATGAAGCGCTTGAATCGTTTGAAGTTTGCAGAGAGCAGGCAGATAAGGCGATTAGTGCGAATATCATCTGGATCTCTCTTTTATGAAGCAACACAGTCTTGCTGGTTTTCCACAACGTGGGCACTTTGCATTTCTACCCGTAACGCGTGAGGAGCCTAACAGAGTTCTGCCAATAACTGGCTTTACAGATGTTCTGCTCTGAACCTTTAAGGACACGTTCTGATATACTGAGGCGAATTGAGTGGGAAAGTGAGCCATAAAGAGGAGTCCAGCTCTCAAGGCACGATCACGATCTTCGCTAATATCCAAGCTTTGCTAAAACCAATACCGTCAAAATCGAATCGCCTCCTATGCATTGTTTATGATTTCAATGAATTAGAGCACTATTCGTCGAATGTGAACATTTTTCTAGTCATATAATTACAACTGTCATTACCATTTCATGAAATTTTATAAATAATTACAGAACTAACAAAGAGATCCTTCCTAAACCACCACGTTTTCGTATGGCATGGATCCATGCAAAGGCTCGTTCCGTTCAGCAATCTCTCTCATCTTATCGAGGTAGAGGGTGAAGACCTTTTGGAAGTTTTCTGCCTCATCAGGATGACTGAGATCAGCGATTCCATCACGTAGGCTGAAATATAAGCCTTCTATGAACACAAACGCAACGAATTTAAACATCTTGATCGCTTACTTTTTGTTATCTGTATGTGGCTTCTCACCCATCTGTCCCATTTGGGTATTACTGGCCATTGATGTAATTCCAAAGTCATCCTGGTCGAGTTTGACATCTGCTGCCGAATAGCATTCTCCACGAAGAATTTTGGCTGGCAGATCTGAAGTGTTTTGAATAAATAAGGGAATAAACAAAACAACAACATTGCTAAAAAAAAACTTGCCGGGTTCTGAAGTTATTGGCCTTCCAAGTCCTATTCCATCAGTGGTCCCATCCTGTACAGCTCTGACCATTGCTGCTGCTGTTCTAAAGCCACCTGTCACATATACAACAGTGTCCTTCAATGCTGGACGAATCTAAAAACGTAACTGGTCAAGCTGGCGTTATAAGCGAAGGCTATAGAAATATTAGTTTGAAAAAAGTAAAAATAAATGAAAAAATAAAATAGGTAATGCAAATATAAATACAATTCAGGAAATATTACGCAAAACGTCTGACCAATCAAAGAAAGAGTTAGGAAAATACTGAATGTTACCTTTTCAGCGAATTCAAGGAAGAATGCTTCCCGTTTTCTTGTGGAATCGCGCATATGTTGGAAAGCTAGTCGCTCTATTGTTCCACCAGACAATTCCACGAAATCAAAGCCAACTTTCTGAAAATTATTGAAAACTAGAAATTGACTTTCGTCTGATAAACAAGAATATTTTGATAAGAAAAAAAAAAGAACAGGCAAAAGTGGAGTGTTGAAATAATCCGTTATGAAAGGGGCAATGCCATCGACTGGAACTTTACTAAACAAATCTTGAAAAGCACTTGATTTCTTGTAGAAACAATTTTACGCTGCAAGATCTGTATTTAAGCGAATGGTCAGAATCCAATTATTTAGATTGGATTTCGAAAACTCTAGTAAATACAAACTTGAAATTTAAGATAGGCATAAGATGTAAGTTTCAATTCTCAGAATCATCCTCACCTCAATCATTGCACAAATAGCTACGGCGTCTTCCAGGTCGAGACCTCCATCTTGAAATTCTACTGAGTTTGTCTTAATACCAACCAAGAAGCCAGTGGACACGTCGATCTCATCCCTGGTTGTGATAAGTAGGTTTTTCTCTTTTCTCCCAAAAGTGTGCGGACTTACCTTATTGCTTGATAAATCTCTCGCAAAACCCTTGTTCTATTCTCAACCGATCCTCCATACTTGTCAGTTCGTTTATTCGTTGTAGGAGACATAAACTGTGACAGCAGGTACCCGTGAGCCGCATGCAACTGGACACCGTCAAATCCTAGAATGGTGCCTCTTACTTCAGAAGAGGTTAGTTCCTCGACAACTACTTACTTTGTTCTATTCATTACATTTCATTATAAGAAAAACTTTTCAGGCAGGTATAAGGAAAACGACATACCCTGATCATAGGCAAGTTTTGCCGCGTATACAAATCTGTCCACCACCTCTGATTTCACTTGCGCTTCAGTAAGCGGAACAGGCTTTCCAAAGCCCATAAAACGACGCTTCATAACCAGTTGAACGTCAGAGCATGAGAATGGCTGAGGATTCACTGATTCTGGTGTTAATCGCCCAGCCTAAGAAACGAATGTTTTGAGATGTTTGTCAGTAACAGTGAAGAAAAAGCTATCTGTATCTAAGTTTACGCTAAACATCTTCTTGTTCTACAAAAACGATACTACCGTACAAGAAATGAGCTGATTACTGTACATAAAAAAGTGTTATAGGACGTGATATAAGTAGGCCCTATTTAGGCCATAAACCACCATACTTCCATGAATAAGTTGCAGACCTGCATAGTATCTGACCCTCGCCCGAAACCAACAGCTAACATACGTTACGATACCCAAATGAATATTCGATTTCTTAAGCAACTTCGATTCTTGTTTTGTGAACTTACACACCAAGGACCACATTCTAACTTACATGTGAAAGCTGTGCTATTGCCAGAGCTCCATCCTGCCGCATTGCTGCCGCCAACTTTGAGCTCCTTTCTCTAAGCTGAGGTGAATCGTTCTCTTTGCTAAACACCACATTGCCGGCCGACTCAAGGTTGAACTGGAACCTTTCAATTAGCTATTAGAAAAAGAAGTATAAAGAATACTAAAATGAAAACGCACCGGATCAACGCAAATATTACCAGTCAAAATCATTCCGAATCCGCCACGTCCCCATCTGTCATACATATTGATGAGGTTTTCTGTAGGTATACCGCGTTTCTTTAAATCATTAGGATCCCACGTACTAATTCTTTCAGTGAGGGCTGCCTGAAATTCAGTGCCGAATTAATGATAACTATAATACTTTTGAACCATACTTCGAATTTGGGCAGTTACAAAAAATACTGAAACAATGTTTGCTTCCCCTGGTGAGCGCCGGAACCATCGAGAACCTTTGGTTTAATATGATTGAAACTTTTCCCGAGAAGAGGCCTAATAGCATTCAGGATAGGATACCGATGGAATTCATGTACATTTTATTCTTATTGTCGACTGGTTCCCGCTAAATCTACCTCTACCAAACGATGTGGTAGTCAGCTTTATCGACCGTAGCAAAAGTCTTATTTCGCCTGTTTATCAGGTTCTGCAGCTGGTAATTATAACTTCTCTCCACGGTGGATATAAATCGCAATTGTGCTGAATTCCCTAGGTACTTTGAATTGACACGATCGTTACTATCTCTCACGGACAATACGTCTACGTAGCTGTGTGGTCTTTCAGCCTTCCCAGGGAGAATATGCGCTCACCCGACGCATGCGTCTCACGTGCAGGCAGGAAAATCAACCAGGTTATCGGCGGAGAATGTTTCATTACTACTTTGAAAATGGCAGTTACAATAACCAGTGCTGTAAATGTTGAATGAACTCCATTCTAAAAACGAAGCAATAGACCAACCTTGAGGAATCTATTTTTGGCCTGGCGACCATTACGAAACTTCAGTTGTTCTCCCAAAATCGAAACATCCACACTTTCAGCAGGCAGACGAGCATATACAGAAGACATTCGCTTTGAGAAATGAACTGGTTGACTGAAGAACTCCTTACTGATACTCGTAAGCCTCGCCCGCTTGCGCTGTCTTTTATCGTTGACACCATGACACGCCCGCGACCATCGATTACCGAAGTCAGCCGAAATGTCATCGCTCAACTGCTACGAAAAATGATGACTAAAGAACAAGATGACGACAACCATTATGGTATTACAACTAGTTAGTAGTCACATCTCGCGTGCGGTGATGACAAATACTGAAAACTGGATTACACTAGAACCTTGGAGCTAATTTCTCACTTCCCTAAATCCACTGATACTTGTCCCGAACAAGGCGCATCTATTTACTTTGTTGATCAATGTAAACATGGGCATGCGATTTTATTCATGAGGTTCAATCTTGCCATAAAATGGCGGGTGAAGCTGCAATCATTGATTCTCTAGTTCGAGGTAATTAGCTTAATCGTGACAATTGTTCAATCATTAGGCTCACCTTCCTATCGCACAACACTTATCAATTTCGATGGCATTTCTCTTTAGTGAGGGTCCTCACACTGATTCATGAAGCGGTAGAAGCACGGCTCCAAGGCTCCATGTGTAGTTCATTCTTCTTTATGCAACCTCGATGTGATTCTAAAGAGTTTTCCATATTCAAAAGGAAGAGGTAGTGTGAACTATGCCCTAATTATATAACCCTGTGTGGTAGTAGCACGGTTATACGACCCTATACTGAACCATTAGTTTGATGCATAAGTCCCTCCCTCGACTTTTTGTAAATATCCCAACAGCCTGAAGATCAGAAAGGTGCCATCACCATCCACAGCTCGACGCCAATGCTCAAGCAGCTTGCCGATTCCGTCTTCCCAGAGGGACGGAGTTGGTACTAAAAGAAGTCGTCGAGTGCCTCTCTGACCTCATCCTTTGTGTCGATCTACGCATTTCAAACGGCATTGTGACCTGCATATGCAGAGTGGGCAAGTGATAGCTAGCTTGAGGACAGAATATCATGCATACTTCACACTCACATTATGGCGAAATTCCAACGTCCATGCAAACGAAATACGGGAGAATCAAAGACGGGGGAAAAACTTATGCATCAACCTAATAATACGAGGCTTCGGGTTTTCGGTGTCATACATACATATAGTAGATGTGCGATCATTTTAATAGAACGTTCATTGAATACCGCTACGCATCATATTATACAGTACATCTCACTCCTATCAAGTGATTGTTTCTCAAAATCCAACTGATGAACAGTGCTGAATTCAAAGACAAAACCAACCTGGTACCTGGTCCATCCAAATGTAGCCCATCTGCATAATTCCGAATTTGCCACACCACCACCTATCATAGGAGTGCTTCAAATTGTAAGCTTGCCTTCGAGTTCCACATGCTGATTTTCTAGTGAATAACGTCTGTAATACAAGGAGTTTTTCTTCGATAAGATTGGACCGTAAGCGTCAGATTAGGAATCAGATGAAGTTGTCTCGAAGTTTATCTCAGAAAGCGCAAACCACTCTGCAAAAAGATTCATTAAAGCGCTTTTCATAGCCAGAGCCGGTTTGAAATCAGAGATAAACGGTGCTGAACCATTCCCAAAACACTCGTCCAAAATCAAGCAAATCAAAAGCTCACTTCAAGCTACGTGTGCAATTTAGACTCTTCTCTAGAGTAAATGAGGAACAGCTAGTTATAAACAACTAATATCAAGAAGCAGTGAAAGACCAATGAACAAACACTTTATTGAAGAAGGGATTCTTCATTAAGTAGCCATTGCGGTTCTTTTCCTTACTTTTTGTTGTTTCTTCTCATTTCATTGCTTACCATAGTTAAATTATATTAATTATTCCTTCAATACAAGCCAAGTTTAGTAGTATGATATCACGATATGTCAATAGAATTGCCTTCTCTATTATCACAACAAAGTGGATGTATAATGTTAAGGAAAATGTTCAAGCTGCTCAAACGGCAATTCACAGTTAAGTAGTTTGCACGAGATATTAAACAAACTTTTCGAACTCCTACTCGAACCACATGGCTGTCTGGCGAGGAACAACTTCACATCCATTTCGAAAAAGTTTCAAAGAGAGATCATCCATGATGGAGTAAGAAGTCCCACAACAAAATCGTAGAAAATGATAGCAATAGGTATGTTCTGAACCTGTGTCATTGAATAAACACACAACAGGGCTTAAACATAATGTATCTGAGCTCTATTAAGTTCTCGGTACTTTACAAAATGAATCAAGCTAAGGCATCATGGTGAAGCCTTAGCTTCAGATCTTGATAAATGCTCGAAAAATCTAATATGCCCGATCATTTGTTGCTCATATTACATCTACTACACTCCTTTGCTGTTGTCAAAAGTCAATTCTACCGTACATATAACTTATGTATCGTTAGTTTTTCTTTCAGAGAGAATCGCGATGAGAACGTATTTAGAAAGATCGAAGTAGTAAGTGCCACTGAACCATTTAGAATATTTAATACTAATCTGAGCAAATATTTACAACGAAGTGAATCTAGGAAATCACNCAATTCTACCGTACATATAACTTATGTATCGTTAGTTTTTTCTTTCAGAAAGAATCGCGGTGAGAACGTATTTAAAAAGATCGGAGTAGTAAGTGCCACTGAACCATTTAGAATATTTAATACTAATCTGAGCAAATATTTACAACGAAGTGAATCTAGGAAATCACATTTTCGTACTGCATAACACCGTGTATAGCTTCATTTCTTTCCGCTGTCTCCTTCATTTGATTGAAATACACTTTTACGGCTTTATTGAAATTGTCAGCTTCATCGGGATGGCTGAGGTCAGCGATACCATCACATATGCTGAAATCATCATTGAGCAAAGAGAACGGCATATCTTTTCAAAGGCGCAAAAACAACTACTCGACCTACTATAAGGAACCTAAGCAACCACACTGATCACACGATCCTAGCAGAGCTTTTCTTTCATAACATTACCCGATGAACATCCTAATCACCTCTACTTGTCTTCATATATTTTTGCAGAGCGGTTCAACTGCGTAGAACTGTCAGAGATCCGGAGCCTACTTCTCAGACTCGCACAAAAAGGCAAAAATAAAATGAAAAATTCAAAAATAAAAACAGTCACAAAGAAGCAATCCGTTGAATGAAACATACTTTTTCAATTCGGCGGAAGGTCGCCTACCCATTTGTCCCATTTGCATATTACTGACAGCTGATGTGATCATAAAGTCATCTTGATTCGGTATTGCATCGCAAGCTGCCAAGCACTCTCCACGGAGGATTTTAGCTGGTAAGTCTAAACGCTAATCCTCACAGCAGGAAGGAAAATGAAGTTTTGTTAAAACTCACCTGGCTCCGCAGTGATCGGTCTTCCTAGTCCTACGCCATCGGTCACTCCATAAAAGACAGCGTTAACCATGGCTGGTGCTGTCCTAAAGCCACCTGTCAAGTAGACAACTGTTTTCTCAAACACTGGCCGTATCTGTAAATGATCAAAAGTAACGCCCACCCGTTTTTCAGGGATAACAAACGTTTTCCGCTCAATCCCATCTATGATACAAATACGATCACTCCACAAAATGAAAATAACTCTATTAAGAAATTCGTCTTCGAAATTGGGATGCATTCGTGTAGATTTTTATTATAATGGAGAGGAACGTAAGCAATGAAGGCTAAATGAAGTTGTCAAAACTCAGTTACGAGATATTTCAGAAGGGTTACCTTCTCAGCGAACTCAAGGAAGAACGCTTCACGCCTCCTAGTTGAATCACGTAAATGCTGAAAAGCTGGTCGTTCAATCGTTCCACCCGACAACTCCACAAAATCGAATCCACTCTCCTGGAAGCAAAGAGAAGATTTTTTTCTAAGCAACACTGAGCTCTATTTGCACTCATTAGGGATCATCAGAACTATTTGAAATACCAGATCAGCTAAAAAGATCTTCCCGTTTTACATTCCCCAGTATAAAGGAGAAGGTTTTATTAAGAATACCGACTGAATCAACTTAGCGTCTGTTACTCGCTATTGCTAATTCGCAACAATTCGGTGGGTCATTGGCTGCTTTCGGACTTCGTTCATCCGCCCGTCCTCCCGGCGCGTTGCAGTTGTGTTGCGTGCGTGCGACGACGGCCCTAGCCACTTGTTGGCGCGTGATCCAGTGGTCCAGTATTGTGGACAAGTGGCTAGAGCCGCCGCGCATGCACGCAACGCGCCGCGCGGACGGGGCGGCACGCAGGCGGAAGTCGAAGTCTGAAAGCAGCCGTTTTGATCAGTGCACTGCACGTGGATGTTTCGAAGCAATCGTTTCAATCATATAACGACCGCGAACATTAGTAGACATTTCAGTCCGTTTCAGAAGTTCATTCTGTACCAGTTTAGCCCGTAAGTAATGGTCTCATTGGTTTTGAATTACAGCTGTAAACACTTCGTGTGACAGCGCTGCTTTCCTTTCAGACCAGTGCCAATGCAGGTGAACCTTTCGAAGCAGATGTTCAAGATATCCTCAAGTTGTCTGTGACCACTTTCAATGATTAAATGAAGTCCATGCACCTACATCATGCAATTCAATGTCTGAATATTTTTTTCCGCCTTTCCTTGCGTGATTTACTTTGTTGAGATAAAATCACCAATTTGAATAGATGAACGATAAATATGTCACTGGCAATAGTGAAAAAAACTGGCGGCACGTCAGCATGGAATCAAAAGTCTCATGTATGACAGTTCTCAACAGAAGCTATACTTTTGTAACTAATTAGTGACGCTGACCATAGTTAAGCTTGTATAAAATTGACATGAAGATGACATAGTATGTCGAATTTGTTTTACCTCTAAAATTTCGCCAATAATTTTGGCATCCTCCAGTCCTAGGCCTCGATCCTGGAACTCGACTGAGTTCATTTTTATCCCTACTAGGAAACCAGTATCATCGATCTTCTTTCTGAAAGATACTGCTACATGAGATACAACTTCCTCACTGCCTTACGTGATCCAATAAGAACTAAGCCAACTGTAAAACTGAATAATGGCTTACTTGATTCCATCGAAAATCTCTAGAACCACTCTCATCCTATTCTCGACGGAGCCACCATATTTGTCCGTACGGTTATTCGTTGTCGGTGATAAGAAAGATGATAACAAATAGCCGTGGGCAGCATGAAGCTGCACTCCATCAAATCCTGAACAAAAAAATTGAATCGGTGGCTGCTAAAGTCAGGTTCGGTATATCTCTCTTAGATGTTCGGCGTGTCCACCAACTTGCATTTTCTCTCAAACCGAAGAATAATAGTATTTTCGTTTAAGAAAAGGCAAAGCAGTGACTGCAGTGAAAACCTGTACGTTTTCCCTCTTAAATACAGGGAAGGTTAGCTGTGTTTAAAATGTAGCTGACCGGGAAACAGGAACAATAAAAATCGAAAGTGGAGGGATGATGGAAGGCTTGGGTGGTCAGGGCAGAAATTAATGGGAGATTCATGTCGGGTTCATGTGAATGACAGTTCACCACAAAGAGGACAACATACGTAATAATTGCGCGCACCATAGAACTCCGTCTACAAAAATATTTTTAAACCTCAGAATCTGAAGAGTCTGTAAGAGACATACCATTGTCATGAGCGAACTTGGCCGTGTACACAAATCGATCCACGACTTCAGTTTTAATTTGCGTTTCTGTAAGAGCAACCGGTTTTCCAAAACCCGTGAATCGTCTTTTCACTGTCAGCTGAATATCGGAGCACGAAAACGGATGCGGATTCACTGGCTCTGGAGTTTGTCGACCTGCCTAAGAAATCAATCACTAATATGTTTTCAGTCATAATGTAGATTCGTGGAACCGTATCTACAACAATACTGATTTTTCTTTCGCTTTGTACGAGCAAGAATTTGTTCTTCTTTGATGCATTTTATAATTACCGCAACCTACTGAAACACACAGCTGTCCCCTACATTAAAGGCACGGTTCACGATAAAAAAGGTTACTGAGATCATCCTTTAGAAATACTCAGCGCCCTCCATGGGTGGTAGAAGGGACGCTCTCGCTCCCACAATCTCGGCGCTCAGGGCATAGTGGAAGCCCCGTTGCTGCCGTATTTCGCATCCCGCCCCTCGATCGGTGTCACGTTAGACGAGTTCGAGACAATACAGATTGCTATTATTCGTTCTAGGACCCACGCACAATCAGCTAATCGCCGAGTGAAGAGGCGATGTTTTTCTCCCATTCTTTTTTCCTCTAATATTCTTTTTGCTGTCGATCCCTTATTTTGTTTCCTACTCCTAAAGGCTGAAGAAGGTGAGCTACTTTTCCTGTTACTAGGGTTTTTATTTACTTATGCTTATAAGTGAATGAATTTTTGCTTACCATTGTCTGTTATTCGCACCAGGACCCACACGCGCGCAGTGAAACACACTGTTTAGCTCGTCCGTACGTACCACTCTTCTTCATTTTTCTGGTTTCATTCTCGTCCAGCTCCCTTTTAAACGGTTTTTCGAAGCCTTTTTTCACTTTGGAAACACCAATGCACGCAGTCTTCACCTCAGTCGCACTAGTTTCGATCTTGTCTTCCATTTTTCATCATAATCTGGATTACCCAAAATTATCGTGAACTGTGCCTTTAATCATCTGGAGAATTGTTGCCGCACACTTNTATTACCCATCAACATTCGTTATATGAAACCTATGCAGGTACTAGCTATGATGCCCTTTTTTGTATACACTTAACAAAATACAAAACCCTGTAACACTTTTACCCTTCCCACAGGTTTTTGCCTACTTTTGCTGTTTTTTCTACGTTGTAATATGAACAACAGCTAAACAAGTAAATAAAAATAACTGATCCACATACATTCGATATCTGAGCAACAACCAAGGCACCATCTTGCTTGGCGGCCTTGGCAACCTTAGAAGCCATTTCTCGCAACTTTGGAGAGTCATTCTCTTTGCTGAACACCACATTTCCAGCTGATTCGAGATTGAACTGAAATATTAAACTACGAAATGGTTTTGACATGACACCCCTTCACTCTAGCTTTTTCTCCTTTCCCCTTCCCTCCAAGAAGCCGCTTATTGTAATGCTGACGAAGGACGAAGGCTGACTTCTTCCCCTCAATGCAAACTGCGCCAAGACAATTTGCAAAAACCAAAACCAGTACAAAACCGGTACAAAACCAGGTGAGCCAAGCGTAATTCGACTCAACCGATATAACCGATATCTGAAGCAGCGCAAAAGGTGAAACAAACCGGATCCACACAAATGTTGCCGGTGAGAATTACGCCAAATTTCCCATGGCCCCATTTGTCGTAGAGATTGACAAGACCTTCAGTTGGTATTCCTCGTTTCGAGGGATCTTTGGCGTCCCATGTCGATGTTCGTTCCGTCAAAGCTGCCTAAACTCTGTGCTGTGCAACTGATAACGAAGAAATTTTGAAAGTGATTGGCGGAATTACTCATTTCTAGACCATCAATTTACTTACTTTGAGGAACCTGTTTTGTGCAGTTCGACCATTTCGAAACTTGAGCGATTCTCCAAGTACTGAAACATCCACTTTGGAGGCTGGTAAGCGGGAATGTACGAGCTGAATTACAACAACTAAGGGAAAAGTTGCTATCGAAGGAATACGTTCAAATCATTGTCCTTACGGCGGAGATCAAAAGCCTTGACATTTTCAGCAACTGTCACTTCTTCTGTTTCAAACTTTTTTTTTTCTTTCCACAGCTTCTGTGCTCTCTGACTGAGACCCAAGTGGCCTAAGTGGGTTGGGGGTGCCACGCGACGGCGCGGCACTTTTCATGTCTGGCGCTTTCTCCGGCAAGATAGTGGACAAGGAAGAATAGGCGAGCTCTGGGGGAAAGGTTCGCGGGTTTCCCGCCATAGTTCGGCGGGAAATGGGCTCAAAATGGTGGAGGGTTGTACAAGAAAGGCACTGAGTAGGATTCTCATCCGAAGGCATTGATTTTGCTGCAAATCTGCTGTCTTTGCGCGACCTCACGCGGGTTTCAACGTGGCCGCAGTTGACTACGATGACGAAGGAGGAGTTCGACGACTGGCTCGTTGAACGAGGACTGTTGTAGAAAGATCACCCGTGTCCAAGCTGTGGAAACCCGAGGAAGGTCAGCAAGCAGGAATGTGACAGCGGCGAAGATGGGAGATGGAAGTTCGTGTGCCACCTTCGCTCGTGCCGACAACCTGAAGTGGACAGGATAGTTGGATACTTCAAGGGCACATTTTTCGAGTCCTTGCATGGAGAACGGAAGAAGATCTTCTTAGCCAACTACCTCTTTGCCTACGACCTAGGCACGACGAAGGAGATGGCTCGAACGCTTGAGGTGGATGAGCAAACCGTCCAGCAATGAATGGTTCCGAGATGTGCTCGTTGAGCACTACACGAACAACGTTGTACAGATTGGCGGACCGAACACCATCGTGCAGATCGACGAAACCAACATCGTGCGCCGCAAGTATAACGTTGGTCGTGTCGTCCGCAGGATTGGCTCGTCGGTGGCATCCAACACGGTACGAAGCTGGTCTTCATGCAATTGTCGAGAAGCGCGGCGCAGCCACCCTGGAAATGATCATCCGGCAGCACGTCGCTCCAGAGGGAACCGTTCGGACTGATATGTGGAGTGGTTACAATAACCTCTCCAATCTCGGTTACACGCACGTGACGGAACCATAGTGCCAATTTTGTGGATCCAGCAACCGGAGTCCACACTCAGCGTATTGAGGGATTGTGGTCTATCCTGAAGGACAGGATCCGCAGACGGCACGGCCTCAGGGCGATCTCTGGGATGACCACTTCCGAAGTGCTGTGGGAGTGGCAGTATGCCAGCGAAAGCCTTTTGTACGAATTATGGAGGCTTATCTCACTCTGGCACCCCATCCAGTGGAAGAGCTAACCCAACGGCCCTCTTTAGGGCCGCCAAAATGCATTTCAGACAAATACTAGCGTGTATTATTATGTATAAATGTATTATGTATTCTGTAGGTAATATATTCTTTACACTTGAGACACTTTATGGGGCCTCTCACATGTTATAACTGTATATTTTTCACCTAATTTCAGGAAGGGGAGGGGCTACGGGGTGGGTGAGCCAGTTGGACGTTCAACTTTTATCTCATCTAAACTTTTTGCTTGAGATAACCATCTCACCCACCCCGGAGCACCTCTCCTTCCCGAAATTAGGTGAAAAATACACAGTTATAACATAAAAAAGCTATAAAACGTCCTTAAACACCATTACGGGCTCGCCTACTCTTCCTTGTCCACTATCTCGCCGGGGAGAGCGCCGGACATGAAAAGGGCCGCACCGTCGCGTGGCACCCTCAACCCATTTAGCACCCGTCAGTTAACTAGCCGAGCACCTATCATTTCATTTACATACTTCATGATCACGGCACAAAGCGAAAAGATCACTGGAAACGTAGAAAAGGCATAATGTTGAACTTTAAGACGTACCTTACATGGCACATAAGTCACTGAGGCTTTGGCAGGTTTGAGCAACTTCGCAATCAACACTCGCATAAATACTATGTACTAGAGGAGTTAGCTGGAAATAGTATGATATCTCTGCCATCATTACACTTCCAAATCTGTCGTTGAGTAACCGATAACAACTGGAAACAACAACAGCCACATTGCCAGCGGCTACGCAGCTGCCTGGCGTTAGAGCACTTTATTGTATCTGGAAGATTTTAGCAAGTTGTGTACGTTCTTATACTGATTTTATGTAATGCCTACCCATACTTCCAAAATAATCCGCTGCTCAACGAACGCTGCCAGAAATTTCTTTGTAATTATTTTACGATGGCCGAAAGTCTTTGGTTCTCATTTAAAAAATGTAAATCTTTTACCTTTGTTCTCTAGCACTTTTCCTCCTATTCGTCTATCTGCTTCTTTGAATACAATATATCACTTTGGTTTGTTCAACTGTGTCCATAAACACCCACAATTTCCTTTCTCACCTATGTTATGTTCTTCTCTACTTTACTTCCCTTTTAAAGCACGTGCACTATTTCCTTTTATGTGAATCCCTCTTATTGTTATTAATGTGTTGATTACGCCAAGAAATCAAAAATCAGGTGGGCCGTGCTGGTCATGCGATGTAGTGATAACCGTTGGATCAGGGCGGTACTGACTGGATCCCTCAGGACGTCGTCAAATGAACTCCAGGACGACCGCTAACAAGATGGTCAGACTTCTTGACGAAAGCTCTGAACGAAAGGAATGTTAAACCGCGTGTCCCTGAAGAGAGGACGATTCAATGGACTACTCTGGCTTCAAAACACATTCTTCACCCTTGTTGGCATGCACCTACGTGACATTTCACACTCGTAATCGGGCCTACGTGACTTTCTGCGGACAGACACACAAAACGACACATCGCTGAGCGATTTTCATAGGAGGAATTACATACGTATGATAAGAGCGAGAGGGACTTTTTTACAGCGTCAGCTTGGGAGATTTCAGATCGATAACCCTTGTTTTGCCTAGGTGGATATCTATCCGCGATTTGAACCCGTGACCTTGCGTGTGCGAAGTGCGCCACTTGCCATCACACCGCCTCCGCCCTGATTATCGCTTGCAAGGTCCAAGGTACACATCCCAGTACCGTAGCTGCCTAAACCAACTATGACATAGTCCCGCCGGGGTTGGTCAATTGGTACCAGGAGGATAAGATCTCAGAAAGAGATTGATCAACGCCAGAAGACAATATATTTATCAGTTAGAAGAACAAGGAAGAACCTAGAAATCAGCGACGACTCACATAAGCATCATAGACCTCATATTGAAATCGAAAATAGCAAAGAACTGTGAAAGTTGAAATTGGTGAGAATTCTGAGAACAACCGGCTGATAGCGACATCACTTCGTCAGTTAACAATTTCGACACCCACATATTTCAACTGCATAATGAACTAGTAAAAAGCAGGGTCTAACCATATTTCTTGTAAGTTTATATATTAAATTATACAAAATTTTAAATGAAATAATGTCAAGAAAGGAGCACGTACACAGACAAGGACTTAGACTAAAGTATTGTAAGATCGATAAACACACCATGGCGCACTTGGATCGGAGTGCACTTTTTCTTTAGTGCACGCCCAGTCTGTCTGCGCATAATAACAAATTTACCCGCTGTCTCCTTCAATTGAATGTTCCCGTCCATGGTCAAGAAACAATTATTATTTCAAAAAAATATTGAAAAATTCATTACAATTAATTCGCTAAGTACCTCCAAGCCTTCAGAGTAAGAAATCAGCCCCACGCAGGGAAATGACGTCATATGTAGGATCAGGCTTAGCCCGCTTCGGATTCATCGTAAGTTTCCTTTTCGAATATGGTCAGTTTTTCAACCGTGAACACAAGCTTGGTCAAGGGTTTGAACATCGGGTCGACATCCGCCCAGATCAACCAAGCTTTCCATCCTCTGGGATAGGACAGTTGGATAAAAGCACTGACTTGTTTCATCGGCTGGTCACTGCAAATCATTGTATAGGCCACATTCGCATTTAGTACGCCACTACGATCAGAAGTCGAATGTGTGGGCGTATCCATCAGACGGGATTGATTAACGGCTAGGACTTTATCCTTTATCCTTATTTTAAGTAATCAAATCACATCCCATGCTTCCTAGGTTGCCAGAAATTACTGGACCTTTCTCTAAACAAGACTCTTTAGAATCGACTTCTCTAACCAGTTTTCTATTCCGTACAAAATGACGCGTAGGTATGACCAGGGGCAAGAGAAGTTCCAAATTACTTTCTGAACTACAAGGTGAGGCAGTATCGACGTCGAAAAGACAATGAATCAGCTTGTTTTCCGAAAAAACTTTACAACGTTACAAACTACACGACAATGTTTTCGTACTCCATAATACAAGTAACGGGTTCCCTTCGTTCGATAGCTTTGGTTGCTTCGTCGAAGAACGGTAGGGCTTCCTTCATAAAGTTTTCTACTTCTTTCGGGTGACTGAGATCAGCGATGTCGTCGCAAACACTGAAAAATGGAGTAAAGTGCACGGCCTAAGAATCTAATGAATCTAGAAACGAAAAGACTCGCCATAGATAGAATATGGTACAGAGTGTGTTCGCTGTAAACTTAATCGATTTTAGGCTACAATCGGTACTTCGCGCACCTCTGTACTTAGGAATCAGTGGTGTAATGGTACAACTAAGACTACGAGTGATAGACTAAATACATATGTATGTGTAAAGGTACGTAAAAGTCGTGGGGAGAAGGGGCGCCTCTCGATTCTTTTTTAAATTTAGAAGAAGAAAAATAGTAACAAACGGCTTAGGCATATCTTCCATGCCCTCCGAACTGAGATCTGTACTATGCCATATAAGTGCGACATTAGCAAAAAATTCAAAATGACATCCAAAGAAAGAATCCATCCATGAGAAGAATCCATCGAAGAAAAAGGATCAAGCGTAAGGATTAAGTCTTGATTTTGATCGAATCCGTTTTTGAGATGTAACCCAGCACTGACTTCCATGCAGGAACATAGTGGCGTTCTGTAAGCCAATGTGTTGGGTATTGAACTGGCCAGCTGACGAGCAATTTTATTTCCCCAGACAAGGCGGTACTAATCAATTGGCCCCGAAGCGATGGAGGGCTTGGTGGCCAGGGTGAATATCCATCCGGGACTCGGAAGCCGAACCATGCATATTTGTAGTGCACCACTTACCATTACACCACTTTCGGTCGAACAAAAACAGAACGAAAACTTTGCGAAAATGGTGGGAACGCCGCTTTTGGTAAAAGTTTAGGAAATCATAGTTAGCAAGAAGGGTACAATTCCTATGTATTAGTTGCCTTTTTTGTTTGTTTGTTGCTGTTGTTTGTTTGTTTTAATTCCACTAAAAGCTGATGATATAGCAGTAGTTTGCATGGTTCGGACAATACAAAACAAAATCAGCATGATTTTTCTCGAATAATCAAACATGAGTCATTTTGAAATAAAACTTACTTTTTAAGGTCGGCATACGGTCGCCTACCCATTTGCCACATTTGGGTGAGGCTTGCTACCAGAGTAATAACAAAATCGTCCTCATCCAGTTTTGTAGCGGGAGCTGAGAGACATTGACCACCAAGAATTTTTGCCGGTAAGTCTAAAACAAGCAAAACTAAGTCTTGGTAACTTCTTGCTTTACAATCTTCCATTGTCCTGCAAGCATGGGTGAGTGCCTCTCCTTATAAGGCCCACAGATACTTTACGTTGTCAGAACTAGAAAAGCAAATATTGCTTTCATTGCAAGGTAGAGACTATTAGAAATGGGTCAACATAGATGGCAATTGATCCAGGACTCGATCTTCGTGTCTTGCATGTGACCGTGCAAGACACGAAGTTCGAATCCTGATCAATCGTCACACGCCCCCACACTATCTTCACTATTCCGATCATTTCGATTTATAACCTCCCAAGGTAGAGGGTTGGAAACGAAATTATCAAAAAGATTACAGATCACGCATGATTTTTCAGCAGGTATCTGTCGATGATCTGACGATGTACAGGATGACAGCAAGCGAAGCAGAGGAGATATTGGAAGACGAGGAAGCCCAAATCGAGAAATCGAGTTGTCTTTATGTAATCCTGCACGGCTTCTGTGTTCCTAATCTCGTGCAATCAAGTGGTCAGCGGATCACTTCCATGTGAGCACAACGAAACCGTTTGTAAAACAGTAAACTTACCCGGTTCAGCAGTGATTGGTCGTCCTAGTCCTATTCCATCGGTTATCCCATCAGTTATCGCTCTGATCATAGCAGGAGCTGTCCTAAAGCCACCTGTCAGGTATACCACGGTCTTGTCGAAGGAAGGTCGTATCTGGAGTATAGTACAACTGTAAGAGTGTCACCTTCAACCTACACGGCTGTTTTAGTTCCTGTTCCTACTTGCGAAAGGCTTCTGCTGTTCCGTTATGGCCGTTTAATCAAAGGACTCAGCACTGTTCATCGAACTTCAAACCAACACAAGGCTGGTCTTTCACCCTCGCCAAATCTTGCTCCAATCAATTATCACCTGATCTATTCAGGGGTCTTGAAGGCAAATCCCCGGCAACACTTGGAAATGAACATCCCACTTTCCTCTGATTCGAAACCTATGGATGATTGAGAGAAAGACTTTTGTAATATGTACTAGAAATGTTGGGAATAATTGGTACAGATCTAAACTCGAATAAACAAGAATTTCCTCTAATTTCGACTAAATCTTCAGATATTTATGCCACGACCTGAAAATTAGCGACATGAGCTTCGCCTCTCCCTTGAGGTCTTACCTGTTCAGCAAATTCGGCAAAGAATGCCTCTCTTTTCCGAGTCGATTCCCGCTGGTGGTGAAAAGCTGGCATGCTTACCGTTCCGCCAGATAACTCCACAAAATCGAAGCCACAATTCTAAACAAATCCGATTCGGTCATTGGAGGTCCTCTAAAAAAAAGGCAGAATAGGTTTGAGACAAAATCCCTAATTTGATTGAATGTCGGCGGCGCAGAGATGGATGAAGCTAGAACCGAATATTTACAACTTTGGTCTAGGTCGCTCTAGAAAGACCTAAAACGGATTGGAGACAAATTGGTAAGGGAGCACAATAAAGAAGGAGTGATCAAATGCTTAGAGTAAGCCGCGATGAGAGCGAAAATGATGATTCGTAGGAAACTTTCAACGAAGAGCGGGAAAGAGGAGGAAAGAGGGTAGTGTCATCAACATATCAAGGGCGAGATTCTCACAGAGAAACCTTTTGGTGAACAGGGTTCACACCGAGATCGGTAGAGTTATGCAATAAGGAGGTGACACTGTCCAGATGAGCCGGAGACTGGTCAAACTATAGTAGTCCATAAATTGGACCTCACTTGGACTCCATTTCAACCAGTCGTTTGCAATTGTCAACATTAGTACAGGTGACGAAAGTGAACAACAACAAAACTAGTAATGTTAGTAATAGACGGATAGTAGATATGATAGAAGTACATAGTACATAGTTATTTTCCTTACTGATTTCTGATGTGGAAGAACAGCTTTTCAAAGCTATCTAGGGAATGGAACACCATTTGTAGCTCCTCACCCATACAAAACTTGAAAACTCTTTCAGAAATTGTCTTACCTCCACAATCTCACCCGTGATTTTAGCGTCTTCCACACCCAAGCCACGATCCTGGAACTCGATTGAATTCATTTTTATTCCAAGCAAGAAGTTGCTGGATGCAATCTCTCTTCTAGAAAACATATGTGGAGCTCAGAGTTTAATTTCATTTGCAGTAAATGCTTCTCTGACGTTGACAGATGAAACTGAAGACTCACCTGATACCCTCAACAATTTCAAGTATAACCGTCATTCTATCCTTTGCAGATCCGCCATATTTATCTTTTCGTTTGTTTGTCATAGGTGAAAGGAAAGACGATAGTAGATAGCCATGAGCAGCGTGAAGCTGAACGCCATCGAACCCTAAAGTTAAATGGCTGCTTAAGATAATTCGAAAAAGGGAGGGGGAGGAGTTAAAACTTCAGAACATGACCTAGGAAGGAATTCCCTTGGGTTAGAAAGTAAGATATAGTTCTAAGCGTGCCCGTGAATACTTCATCACCTTATCCGGGTCTTGTAAAACTGCTTACTAAACATGTAAATGTTATGAAAAAGTTTCACATAAGTTCCGTAGAAATACAGGACACCTAGCGGGCCTAAAGGCACCATCCACGTTAGTCTCAAGGGTCATCTCTCAATTGAAGAATGGTAGTGCTGGAAACGACTCTGGGTGTGGACTACGCCCTGTCGGTTTCTGAAACCATTTCTGAGCTTACCCGCCATTGCGGCGCCCTTTCCGGACCACTTTCGAACTGACATTGTCCCATGTGGCAACTGAGATCACAGGAGGAAAACGGAAATTTGTTTTATCGTGGACTGTATGTTCGAAATTTCGACAGTGACCAGCCCCCAAAGCCTAACAATTGCACCAGTCAAGCGCTTCCAGGATGGAGCATTGAGCAATCAGCGCCGAGCGTTGAGCGTTAAGCGCGCCGGTGTTCGTAGGCCGCATGAGCATGGCGATGTTCGCGTTGGAGCATGATATTCCCAGCTCCTCTGTAATTCTTTCGTCACATTACACCATGGATGGTGGTCAAAGAAGAAAAAGAGCAAATCTATACATTAAAAATTGAGAAAGGGGTGAATTGCAAACAATAAAAATCGTTCAAGAAATTGATCACCGCTGACTCATGCAGTATCGATCGACGATTGGCGTTGTCAAAGACCACGCGCCGAACGCTCTGCGCTCAACGCTCAACGCTTCACTCTGAAAGACGCCAAGCTTTTTTTGACAAAAAATGGGACTAGTACTGAAAAGCGACGGTAGGCGTTCATTTTCTAATCCAGCTTTGGCTACATGACCCATACTTTCGATTGTGACCCGCAGGATATAAATGCAGCCGTGGGTAACATAAGTACTGCATATTAATCTCGCTGCAACGCTCGAGAAAATCTGTTGTCTTTAAGAGTGTTTATAGAGAACTGGAAAAAAAACTAAGCACTTCAACAATGATAGCCACAAACAGTACAATTTTGATTGAACAGCAAGCAAACTCACCGTGATCATGAGCAAATTTTGCTGCATATACGAATCGATCGACAACCTCAGTCTTAACCTGCGCTTCAGTGAGCGCTATCGGAGTTCCAAATCTCATAGGAACTGATTTCGATTGAATTGCAATATCGGAACATGAGAATGGATGAATATTTACTGCTTCTTGCGTTTGACGTCCACCCTACAAAATGAAAGAACTGTCATTGTTGAGTGGCTAACATGAGAAAAAAGAATAACTCGTAAAAAAGATCAGAAAACACCACATACGTGTGATAGTTGGACGACTGCCAAGGCCCCGTCCTGTTTCATCACTTTTGATAATTTTGAACTCATTTCTCGGAGCTGGGGAGAGTCGTTTTCTTTACTGAAGATTACGTTGCCCACTGATTCGAGATGATTCTGGAAACTTTGCTTTTAGATCAGCATTAATATCACATGCTAGTTTTCTGAGAAACTCTGCCTGCTTCCTTCATATGTAAGAAATGCTCAACATCGAGGAGGCAATTGCAGGAGAGGTGAGTTTCACGAGGGATTTGGATCTTACACTAAGGTCTAGATCGGACTTTCAGTTTTTTCAGAAGTCTTATGAGCTAAACTCCTTCTTTTTTTATTCTTTTTTCCCAGATCTACAAAAAGCCTCACTGACGGACCTCAGGTTGTTCATTCAGGCCTCGTGAATGAACAGCTCTCTGTAGAGCAAGTTTAAAGGCACTGTTCACGATCAAAATGGTTACTGAGTTTTTCCCTAAGGAATACTCAGTGGCCCCCTTGAGTGGTGATCTCTCGCTCCCAAAATCTCGACGTTCAGGGCATAGTGGAAGCCCTGTTGCTGGCTTGAGTGGCTTTGCCGCCTCCGATCGATGTCATGTCAGACGAGCGTCGAGGTAATACAGATTGCTAATATTCGTTCTAGGACCCACACACAATAAGCTGACTGCCGAGTGACGAGGCGATGTTTTCTCCCATTCTTTTTTCCTCTTTTATTCTTTTTGCTGCCGCGATCCCTTTTTGCAATTTCCTACTCCTAGAGGCTGAAAAAGGTGAGCTACTTCTGCTGTT